CCAGTTAAATTTTTTCCCCTCTCAAACAAACTAAACTTAGAGCTTATATTTTAATCCAAAATGTTGTCCAGAATGGCAATGGACATTGCATTCTATAATACTCTAGTTTTTCCTCATCTTCTTCCTTGCAATAATGGCTAAAGTTACCTAGTTGACCCAACACTCTCATTATGACAAGAAAGTTTGATTATCTGTTAATGAGTAAGATGTACAAATAATAAAGTTCATTATTTAAGTGGTGTGTTAGTCCATTTGTGTTGCTATAAAGGAATATTTGAGGCTGGGTAATTTATAAAGAAAAGGCATTTATTTGGTTCACAGTTCTGCGGACTGAAAGACTGGGCATCTGATGAAAGCCTTGGGCTGCTTCCACTCATGGCAAAGGCAAAGGGGAGCTGGTGTGCAGAGATCACGTGGCAAGAGAGGAAGGAAGACAGAGGAGGGAGGTGCCAGACTCTTTAGAACAACCAGCTCTCCTGGGAACTAACAGAGCAAGAACTCACTCGTTATTGGCACAAAGCCATTCATGAGGGATCCACCCCCATGATCTAAACACCTCCCATTACACCTCACCTCCAACACTGGGGATCAAATTTCAACATGAGATTTGGAGGGGTCAAATATCCAAAGCACAGCAAGTGGCTTAAGAGAAGGTTTGCCAAAAATGCATATATTCTGAATATAGAATACATGTCTGTTATTATCAAAGGCTTACTCTATACAAGGTTCAGTAGTAAGTGCTCTGCAAACCCCCTCTGCCCTTTAATGTTCACAACAATCCTATAATATAAACACTATTTTTAATCTCCATTTTGTAGATAAGGTTAGTTAAGTTTAGGGAGACCACACAGTTAAGAAACTGCAGAATACAAACCCAAGTCTGTTTGTTGGATACAAACCCAAGTCTGTTTGGTTCCAGAACCTGAGTTTTAATCACTGTACTATAGTGACTGAAAGAAAAATACTACTTCATGGTTCTAAAGCACTTTTCTGTTTTTGAGATCCCTTCGTACAGAATAGGTTACTTCTTTACAAAAGGCAGTGACTAAATGAAATTTCTATTCTGGATTAAACCCTGGAATAGCAAAAGGATATTAGTGTTAAAACTAGTGAAATTCTGTACTTTGGTTAACAGCAACCTATCAGTGCTAATTTCTTAGTTTTGACAAACGGACCATGGTTACAAAA